GAGGCCCAGTGAGCTCAGAGCTGCCTGGGAGCTGCCCAGCTGAGTTAAGCCGGATGGGTCTCTCCACTGCGAGGCCTCTCCCTGCCCTGGCTGTGGCTCTGTGCACCACACCCCTGCAATGGGGGCTTCCTGAGCTTAGCCTGTGCCAGGTCTGTGTTTCATACAACAGCAGTACAGGACAGAGGCAAACGGGGGTGAGGGGGAGGGCGAGCTGCAAGGCTGGGACCAGCAGACCCAACAATGAAGGCAGCCTGAACTATTTCCGTCTCCACGGCTGACTCGCGCTCTGACCTTGAACCACTTTCTTTTTCCATCTTTACCTGCTTCCCCATCCACCCTGCGAGTGCAGTGCCAGCGTCCCAGGTGATGTGTGGTGAATGGCATCAGATGAATGGGGAAGAGGGCTGGGCTGGGCTGCACAGGCTCTCACTGACCATCATGTCACAGGAATGGGACAGAGCACAGGCTACAGGCCCTTCTGCCCAGGTGTCCATCTCTCTGCACCCACTGCAAACTGGGCTGGACCTGGGCCTCTAGGTTCCCATGGCCTCAGTTTTTGCTCATGAGCTAGAGTGAATGCTAATTGTGTGAGCTTTCCATGGAGGGCGTTAACCATGCTGGGAGTCTCTGGGAGAGAGGGAGGCACTGTGAAGAATCACATTGGGACCAGAGGCCTCGCCCTGCATGGTCCCAGGCTGAGCAGTGCTGTCACGAACCGAGGTTCAGGGTGGCTGTGCCTGAGATGTAGTACTTACTGCACAGATGTCAGTTCCGACTGTGAGGTTGTGAATCCTGGTACAAGCACAGGTCACTGCGTGGAGCTGTTCATAATGACCCTCCCAACTGCGTCTGGGCCTGGGAGGTCCCGCCGCTCCCAGGACCCTGCAACGCTCCCGGGCTGTGATTTATGATCGCTCCTCTGACTTGCCAGATCCTTTTGACAGCACAGCCCTGAATGATCCCAGCCTTTCACCACCCTGCCCCCCAGATAGAGATACCTCATTCTGACCCCCCGAGTTTCCCATCTGCAGCTTACTCACGCCAGGGTTTGGAGCGGATCATATGCCTGCCTGGATTGGCTGAGCTGTGGACTGTTTTTATCCTGCGTTGATATGCATGGGGTATGGGTGTAAAGCCTCTTCCAGTTTCCTGAAAAGGGACTACTCCTGTCACATGTGCCATGAAGACACTGAGGCAGAGTGGTCAAAGGAGACAGTTAAGAAGGTGCAGCAGCTGGCGGTAGCCCCAAATTTCAATCCTGGGGGCCACTGCTCCAGGTTAGAAGAGCTAAGTGGCCAGGCAGGGCTCTGAGGAAAGAAGTGGGAGATGGTGGGGGTGCTTGAGGCCTTGGGCTGGCAGGCAGTCACCAGAAGTGACCTGACAGAGAGGATTAGGGGCAGAGGGCTCCATCCCAGATGGGGGTGGGGAGGGATTAGCAGTCCTCCTGGGGGAAGAGCCCTGGAAGCTCTTTTCAAGGCAGGTGGGCAGGCTGCCTCCTCCCTCCACTCTGGCTGGATATGACCACCCCTCTGCTCCCCCTCCCCGACACTGAGCCCTATTCAGGAGGCAGCTGTGAGGTTGCTCCCAGGGCCCATTCACAGCCTGCGTGCTCCCAGCTGCTCCCATCAGGTAGCCTCAGGCACTCTTGGCCCATACCTGGCCCAGGGGCACCCCGTGGTCATGGTGGGCAGGTCTGGGGCCTGGACCGTTGGGGTGGGAGGCTTGAGGACCTTCCGCGAGAATAGACTGAAAGTGCAGGGTTGTTTCAGCTAGAGCCCAGACCCACTTTTCCCCCTCCACGGGCTGTCCAGGAGGCCTCAGGGCAGGGTGCATGCCTCCAAGGGGCTGCCCCGTACTCACCTCCCCACCCTGTCGGAGGGAACACCTGAGCCCCTGGGAGCTGCTGCCTTGTACCTGCCTCGCCCCAGCCTAGCTCCTTGGAATGCAGCCCCCTTGGTCAGTGAGGCAGCCACGGCTCAGGCTGTGGATCGTAGTGACATAGCCCTGGCCTACAGAACAGCCATGAGGTCTCACTTGCCCCTTGTACACAGGGCATAGCCTCCTCGGAAGCCATCGGCTCCTCCTGGGGCCATGGGCCCTGCCTCTCTCTGGCTTTCTGGAGATCTTTTCTCCCTTCCTCTCCCTCTGCTCCCCCGCCCCCGTCACCTGTGTGCCCCATGCCCACAGTCATTCTCTTCCTGTCTGATGGGTGGTGGTCACAGGGGGTCCTGTGTGTGTTTACAGAACAAGGGCAGCCAGTTCCTAGCCCTGCCACCCCCTCCTTGCAGTCACCCGAAGGATTCACCCGAGGCCCTGTTATTAGGGCAGCCATGACCCCCATTGTCCTGCCTGTCTGGCGTGAAAGGTGGCGTTTTGGCAGAGCAGCCAATTCGGCTTCATTCCAGCTTGCTCCCTGCAGGCCGGGGTTGTGATGTGCTTGGGGCTGGGGACTTGCGGGGCGGGGGGGGGGCGGTGGGCAGCCCTGTCACTAGAACAACAGCAGGGAGTCCTGGATGGGGGAGAGCAGGTGGTTCTTTGTTTGGAGCTGATCCGTCGCCCAGCCCACCACCCTCCCCAGCCTGCAGGGCGAGGGGACTCCTGGGAGGCCTGGTGTCTGCTCCCAGCCCAGGCAAAGTTGTGGGTTTCCTCTCCAATGCCAGCACCACATGCTGAGCCATAGACTTGTCCCCTGCAGTGCCCACTGTAATCTTCCCAGGATGACACCCCCCCCCACACACACACATACACAGATACATCCTGGCCATGCATGGAGGCAGTGTGGCATGGAGCAGGACCAGGCTCAGCAGTCCCCAGGCTGGGCTGGGGTTGGCCGCTGTGGAGTCCCTCCCGGCTGCCCTGGCCTGCTTCCCTCTGCAGGTGCCAAGCAGGTGGCAGCTGCTGCTCTGTCCTCAGGTGACAGACTCTGGTACAGGGTCTGTGCTTACTTTTCTTGGCCTTCCACTCCCCTCCTGAGAGGCCCCTCTGGAGGCTGTGGGGCAGTAGTGTCCCAGCAGCATCTAGCTAGTCAGCCGCCTAGACGTGGGGTCCTGGCTGTGTCCTGGGCCACGGGGGTCACTGCAAGTCTCGGTGCTAATTCTCCCGTTCTGCTTTCCCAGCAGATTCTGCTGTTGGAGGGGATCAAAGCAGTTGTGAATGAAAAGTACTTAGAGCAGTATTTGCCTGCATGTGAGCACTAAGCACAATTAGGTGCTGCTGTTATTCTTTAGAGATGTATTTATTTGAAACAGAGCATCAGAGGGATGGAGAACCTTTCATGCACTGTTTGTGGCAGCCAAGCCATGACCAGGCTGAAGCCACAATCCTGAAACTTCATCTGGGTTTCCCACGTGGGTGGCAGGAGCCCTTGTTTCCCGCTGCTGTCGCTGGTGCATTCACAGGAAGCCCGTCTGGAAATGGAGCCACCGGGATTTGAGCCAGCCCTGCCACAAACCTTAACACCCTCCCTGGCTGCTTTATGCTGAAAGACCTTTTCAGGCACCAGCACTGTGGCAGAATAAGTTAAGCCTGAACCTGCATGGCTAACATCCCACAGAGGCACTGGCTGGTGTTCTGGCTGCTCTGCTTTCCACCCAGCTCCCGGCTAGTGCTCCTGGAAAAGCAGCAGAAGATGGCCCAGGTGTTTGGGCCCCTGCTACCTGCCCGGGAGACCTGGATGGGGCTCCTGGCTTTGGCCTGACTCACCCTGGCTGCTATAGGCGTTTTGAGAGAGAACTAGTGGAAGAGTTCTCTCTCTGCCTTTCAAATAAATAATAAAAATTTAAAAGCCTCTTTCTGGAGCCAAGGACAGCTATCACTTCTGAATCCTGGTGTGTGGAGATTGAGGGTGAAAGGCCACACAGATTGTAAAGTAGGTTCTGGCTCACAGAGTTCTGCAGAGCACCCTGGGGGACCCCTGCCAGCTGCCCCGGAGTGCCTCCCACACCAGCACACACGATGCACCTGCCTGCAGTGGCCCTTGTTGACCCTAGTCAGAAAAGGAGACATGGCTGGCCACTCTCAGCCTCCCATCCCACTCGCTTTCCTTCCAGGCCTGCCTCTTAGGAGTAGAGAGAGATTCTGCAAGTGTCCACGGGTGGTGCCCTTGGCTGGCAGGCTACATCAGGGTGGGCCCTGGGTGGGCTTTGAGGGAAGAAAGGCAAGGAAAGGAACAAGACCCTGCCTTTCCCAACGATTGCAAATGGGCTGCCTGTGGATGGCAAGTGGCTGGCTGTGCGTCCACATAGCCCTCATCTGTCCACCAACCGAACCCATGCCTACCGAGTGGCTGTGCTCAGGGCACACGTGATGGCGACAGCCCCTCCCCCTGGGGCTGTGGCCTGCGGTTGGCATGGGTGTGGAGGAGGGCTGGCCACGAGGCTGTGCCTGCAGGGAATAACCTCCCACCCCAGCACGGGTCACTCAGCACGAGCAGTGTGTGTACAGGAGGAAGGGTGACTTACAGAAAGGAAGCGGTGGGACGTGTACGCGCATGTGCACGGGTGCGCGCATGCGCACGCACAGAGGCACCGGGCGCGGAGCTACAGGGCAGGCCCTAGCAAGTCTGAGGTGCCCTGTGAGTGTGGGCCTGGCAGGTGGCGAGCCCCCTGGGCTGAGGGTTTACCTGGCTGGCCTTTCTGTGCCCTGGGGGACTGCCCAGGTCCGGCCCCAGCTCCTGTGGCTCTGCCTCCTCACGGCCCTTGCCTGCGACCCTGGTGAGTTTTCTTGTTCTTTCGGCTGCCCTCCTTCCTGTGCGCCAGGCCCTAGCAGGACCTCACCGGTAGTCCCCCGCCCCCATATCTTTTCTTCCCAGCTTTTTCCATTTCCTTGTCTTCCCTTTGCCCCTCTGACTGGATGGTTGAGCCAGGTCATCCGGCAGGAACCCCTGGGATTGTAAGTGGGCAGTGTCCAGGGCCTGCCTCTGTTGGCAGAGCAATGGGGGCCCGAGAGTTGGAAAGTGGCCTGTACCCCCTCTGACCCCACTGCCATCTCTTCTCCCGCAGTTTGACCCTGGCAACACGGGCTTCATCAGCACAGGCAAGTTCCGGAGCCTCCTGGAGAACCACAGCTCTTCCCTGGACCCCCACAAGAGGGAGGTGCTGCTGGCGCTGGCCGACAGCCATGCTGACGGGCAGATCTGCTACCAAGACTTTGCCAGCCTGGTGAGTGCCCGCCGCTGGGAGGGGCCTGTTCCAGGGCAGAGGGATCTGCTGGCCCAAAGCTTTGAGAAGGGTGGGCCTCCACAGATGTCTGTTTTCTGCCTCTGGGTCCTGGGCCCTGCAGTAGCATCACCCTCTCCTTCCACGCTTTCCCATTGTGGCAGCAGAGTGGCTGCAATGGTTCCAACCCTTACACCCTCAACCCTCAGCAGGCACAAACACTGCCAAGGCCCGGGCTCTCCCCCACTTACCACATCAGTGTGGGGTGTGATTGACCCCAGCCAGTCAGTGCCACTGGGTCCCCAGAGTGGGCAGTGTGTGTGCGGTTGCATTAAACCGAGGCTGTTGCTGGTGGGAGGAGGAGCTGAAGCAGGCCAGGCAGACGACTGCTGTTCTGCTGTTCTGAGCTGTCAGGCCAAGGCTGAGAGGCCCATGAGCCCTGCCTGGTGAGCTTTCCTTCCTGGGGGACTCAGGGGGCTGTTGTGTATGTCAGGTAGGGAGGTGTGCAGTGGAGTTCACTGGGCTGAAGCAGGCAGCCCTTTCCCTACCCTGGGATGGATGGGACACCCATGGGTGAGCACAAGACTGCACACAGACAGGGCTGCAGAACAGGCGGCAGGAATGGTTGGCATCTGTGTGCTGAACAGTGGAGGTGAGCACTGTGCCACAACTCCAGCCCAACAGCTGCAGCAAGTGGCTATGGCTGGTGTGCAGGCTAAGAGAAGCATGTGAGCCGGGGGCATCACCCCTCCAGCTGAAACCATGGCAGGTGCCTGGTTAGCGCCCAGATGCCTATGTCCATGTCCTGAGCAGCAGTGGACAGGGCTCTTGGAGGCCTGTGAGAGGAGCTGCCCTGGAGAGCAGATGAAGGAGGAAGCCCTGGGCTCGGCCCTGGGCTCGGGGCTAAAGTGAGATGCACCCAGGTCCTTGGCCACTCCCAGAGCTCCTCCCCCGGCCACTCAGGGCTCCCAGCTCCCCATCAGGACTGCTGCAGGGCTGGACTCAGATGCAGTCTTGGGAAGTTTTTGCTGCCTCTTAATGTTCTTCTTGCAGGTAAAACATCTTTTGTGAGCCTTTCCTTGGCCCCACTAGGTCAGAACAAACCAGCGTTTTCTAGGGTGCCCACAGTGCTTTCTGCAGGCCTGGCTCATAGCCCGGGTCTGCGCTGCATCATAACTCAGTGGCCAGGCTTGTCATGCATGGGTGTGTGGGTTATACCCCATTCAAGGTTGTTTGGCCAAGAGCTAAGTGGGAACCGAAGTCTGGCCTGGACTTTGCTCGCTGAGACCTGGCAATAGCAACATTCACCTGGACAGAGAGATGTGAGTGTCACTGTGGCTGGCCTGGATGCCACGGTCAGGCACATCTGGCCTCGAGGCCCAGCTCTGCTAGATGGACTGATTCATTGCCTTACCTCTGCGGGCGTTGATTCCCATCCCCATCTATACCAGGTCACTGTTCGGGGCCCTTGCTCCTGCTGCCATTTACACTTGTGAGCTCCATTTACACTTGGAGGCCTGTGATTGTGCTTAGGACTGCGCCTGGCACAACTGTAGGCATGTTAAGGCTACAGGTGGCTGGCAGGCCTGCATGCACACACATGAGCGTGCTAGTGTTGGCTCCATGCCCTTGGCACCCTCCAGGATTGGCAGGGACGAGGATGAGACTAGCCGGAAAATGACTGGCCAGTGTCATTGTGAATGCTTGTGGCCCTGGTTGTTCTCATAGAGCTTCTAAGCCACTGGGTAGGGCCAGATCCCAGCCATGTGGGCGTGGAGGGGACATGGCCCTCTCAAGGAGGACGGGCTCTAGAGGATAGATACTGAAGGAGAGACAGCAGAGCTGGGAAGGCGGTTACCTGCAGGTGCTGCTGTCCCCACTTGGCCTGGCCTGGCTTGGCCTGCTGTTGGCTGTCTTCCCTCAGGCCAGCGATCCTGGGCTGAGTCACCCTCCTTATCCTGTCTGGACTGCTGCCTGCAGGTTCAGCATGAAGTCCACTGCTGGGCCTGCAGTTACAGAATGCATTGATGATCCCCACACCACAGCTGCGGCCTGTGGCTAGGAGAGGTTTGTCTCCAACACTTCTCCCTGTGGTCTAGAGCAGGGGAGGGGAAGGTTTCTGTTGCTGAGGGCCGTGTGGATATTTATAACACCATGCCGGAGCCATGTGAAATTACCAACTTGGAAATTAGCCTGCTGCAGATTGAATGCCCCCTCCTACCTCTGGCTGTCTTGGCAGGGCCAGACCCAGTGGTTTAATGGGCTTTCCACACTCATGGGCCAACCAGGCATTCCCTACCCCAGATCTTCAGTGTGGCCATGGAAGGCAGGTGGGAGACGACAGAGCCTTCTGAAAACCAGGAGCCAGTAGGCTTGCAGCCCTGGAAGAGGCTGGGGGTTTTAACAGATATCCACTGGGGGTTGTAATAGCAGCCTGGGGCTACTGAGCATGGGAGGGCTGTCCCCCATGCTCTCCCCAGGAGGGCTTTGTGCCCAGGCTTTGGGGTCTCAGGCTGTGCAGGTCCTGTGCACCTGCCCATCAAGAGTGGTGATTTTGCCAGCACAGCTGGGGGTTCTGGCTCCAGGGATGATTCTACAAAAGACTGACCAGAGGGCTCTCTTCGGTTTGGAGGTTGGCATGTATTCACTTCCTGGTTCTCAGATGCCACCTTCTCCTGGAAGCCCTCCAGGCTACCTGGGAACCAGATTGGCTTCCTCTTAACCATCATCCTGAATGGTGACTGCTGCATCTGATTTTGCCTTCGGCGCTACTGTGTACCTTATTTCTGGTAAGGGGCCTGGTACACGTGTAGTGCCTGTTAGGAGACAGGATAAACAGGTGCTGGATGCAAGCACAGGCTCTAAGGCCTTGCTGTGTCTGAACTGGGTGGCATCCCAGACCTCCCTGTGCCTCACTTTGCTCATCTGGCGTATCTGGGGTGTTTATGGGACAGATCAACCATTACACACCTCCAGTGAACTAATGCCTGCGAAATGCTGAGAGTCACTCCCTTATAGGTGCACACTGCTGCTCATGAATTACAGCAAGGGGTTGGGTCTGCTCTCAGGAACCTGCCAGCCGCAGGGGAGGTGGGGAGACGGCCTGGAAGCCCCAGCTCTGACCTCTGCCCCACCCTGTTTCCCGTACAGATGAGCAACAAACGTTCCAACAGCTTCCGCCAGGCCATCCTGCAGGGCAACCGCCGGCTCAGCAGCAAGGCCCTGCTGGAGGAGAAGGGGCTGAGCCTCTCGCAGCGGCTCATCCGCCACGTGGCCTATGAGACCCTGCCCCGGGAGATAGACCGCAAGTGGTACTACGACAGCTACACCTGCTGCCCCCCGCCCTGGTTCATGATCACGGTCACACTGCTGGAGGCAAGGACAAGGGCAGGGTGGGGTGGGAGAGACTGCCCAGCTCTGGGGGAGCACCAAAGGAGAGGCCCCTGGAAGCTGTCCGAGATAAGGGGGTGGGAGATTCTTTTCTCCAAGAACCGTGGCTGAGGAGCAGGTTGTAGTTAATGCTGGTCAGACCCCCTGGTGAGCAGGGTTGTCGTGAGCCTGTACAGGAGATCCCTGGGTAGTCACTTCAAACAGTGTTCACTGCACCACTGTGGAAACAGGCTCCCAAGCCAGCCCAGTGTTGTTGGTTGGCTGTCGCTTCTCCCCAGCGCATACCATGGAACAGCCATCCACTCCCCCGGTTCTCCCTTCTCTCACCTGAGACCTTATGCCAGTTACCAGGGGAGGGTGGCTGTGGGTGCTTTCTCGACAAGAGAGTGACATCAGGTGCACCTGGAAGGGTTTTAGAGATTCATTCTCTAAATGAATGGCCCCACATGCCACCAGTCCCACAGGTGCCACAGCTGCCCATGCCTGGTGGAGCTGTGCATTCTCCTAGCCCCTCAACCCTGTAACCTGTACCGCTACCCCAACCCCAACCCCTGAGGGATGCCCGACTTACCTGTGGCACCTTATCACTCTGGGATTATTATTATTATGTTACTGTTATTATTTATTAAGATTGATTTATTTGAAAGAGAAAGTTGCAGGGAATCAGATAACTTCCACCCACTGGCTCATTCCCCAAATGACCTCAACAGTTACTGCTGGGCCAGACTGAAGCCAAGATCTCAGATCTTGGTCTTGGCCTCCCGTGCAAATGGCTGGATCCCTAGCACTCGGGCCCTCCTGCATGGCCCTCCAAAGCCCATGAGCAAGAAACTGGATTGGAAAGAGAGTAGCTGAGGCCCAAACCAGGCACTCTGATGTGAGTTATGGGTGTATAAGGATTGGGTCAACATGCTGAGCCACAAATAATTTTTGAAAGTTTTTATTAAAAAAAAATTTTTTTTCAGAAGACACAGAGCTCTCATCTTCTGGTTGGCTCCCCCACAAGGGAATTAGCCAGTCCGAAGCTGAGCCAGTCCGAAGCTGGAAACCAGAGACTCATTCCAGGTTTCCCAAGTACCTGAGCCATTACTTGTTGCCTCCTCAGGGTGCATGAGAATAGGAAGCTGCAGTGTGGAGCAGAGTGAAGACTTGGACCCAGGCACTCTGCTACGGGATGCAGGCATCCCAACTTATGCCAAATGCCTCCTTATCAATGTTATTAAAAAGATTAATTTATTTGAAAGTCTGAGTTACAGAGAGAGGGAAAGAGAAAGTGAGAGATTGGTCTTCCATCTGCTGGTTCACTCCACGACAAGCAGAAACCAGGAGTCTGGCACTCCATCTGGGTCACCCATGTGGCCCCAGAAAGGCCTCGGTGCTTGGGCCATCCTCTGCTGCTTTCCCAGGCGTATTAACGGAGCTTGTTTGGAAGTAGATTTGCCATCATTGCAGGTGACCGTCTAAATTGCGGTGCTACAGAGTGACCCCACTCCCACCCTGCCTCTTGACCACTCTGGGAGTTAGCACCAGAGGTGGCCTTGGATAAAGAAAGAAGACACTGAGGAATTCAGATCCTTTGTCCGAGTTGATCCCAAAAGGCCAGGCGTTGTGTCCAGATTGGTCCAGATTTCTAGAATCCTCAGCTACCTAAACTTAAAACTAGAAGCAATTGGAAAATGCCCCAATGACTAAAATAAGTACCTCATAAGCCCTATGCACAAAAGCTCAAGGCCTTATCTTTCCAGTTCTACTAACCTCATTCTCAGATTCTGTAACAGACAGAAAAAAGGAGGGCTGGGAGAAGCAACTGGAAGAGGCCCAGCAGCAGGCAGGCAAGACGTGGCAGCTGTGCACCGTGGGATCGAGCAGCTCAGAGCTGACCTGCCTTGTAGAGAAACAGATTTGGAGCCATGTAGAGGCGTGCCAACCTCATCTTCCTCATTTGCCAGGGAAGACGTCACTCTCAGAGCTATGCTTCAGCACTGAGACCTCCTTAAGCAGTGATATCTGTGCAGTGATTTAATGAAGAGTCCAGGGAATGGGGCTGACAAGGTGGTTTCACTGCTACTGCAGATGCCTTACTCCCTGCTAAGGCATCTTGGGAGGCAACAGATGAAGGCCTGAGTGTTGGGGTCCCTGTCACCCATGTAGGAGACCCAGCTGGAGTTCTGGGCTCCTGGCCTTGGTCTGCCCCAGCCCCGGACATAGCCGGCTTTTGGGGAGTGAACTAACAGGTGAGAGCACACACTCTTTCTCTCCGCACTCCTGCCCGTCGGCTGTCTCACTCCACCTCTACCCACCTCCCACCCACTGCTCTACTTTTTAAGTACATGAATGAAAGTAGGCAGCACTTTTTAAGAGCACAGGGACACACGTGATGCATTTTAGAGAGATTTACAGAAAAGCAGTGAAAATAAGTACCTGTTTAGGATTTAAAGATGGGTGCTTTAGTCATCTGCAGGGGTTGGGGCAGGATTGTTGCTGAGGAGGTGAAGAAATCCGAGTAACACAGAGACAGTATGGCAGTTCCTCAGGAAATTAAACAGAGCTACATGTGAGCTGGCAGTTCCGCTTTGGAGCAGACTCCCGAAGCTTTGAAAGCAGGACCCGGAGGAGTATGGCGGCATGATTCACAGCATTCAAAAGGTGGAAGCAGGGGCCAGCCCAGGGACGTAGTGAGGCCACCACCTGCCGTGCTGGCATTCCTCATGGGTACCAGTTCAAGTCCCAACTGCTCCACTTCCACTGCAGCTCGCTATCACTGCACCTGTGACAGCAGCAGAGGCCCAAGGGCTTGAGCCCCCGCACCTGTGTGACAGACCTGACTGAATCTCCTGGACCAGCTCTGGCTGGCTGTTGCAGCCATTTGCAGCGTGAACCAGTAGTAAAAGGCCTGCCTGCCTCCCTCTCTCACTTTATTTCTCTTTGTAAACCTGCCTTCCAAGTAAATAAATAAATCTTAAGAAAAAAAAAAAAGGGTGGTAGAAACAACCCAAATGTTCATCAACAAATGGATGGATAGCAGAATATGGTGAATGATTGCAAAGGAATATCATTCAACTTTCAGTAAGAGAGTCTGAAACACACTACAGCCAGAGGAGCTCGACGGCATGACACTAAAAACGCGAACCAGTCCTGAACAGACAGACCCTGTGAGGTTCCATCGTGAGGCACTGACGGGAGGCTGATTGATGGAGATGCAGAATGGTGGGCGTCGGGCTGGAGGGAGGAGGCTGTGCGGGTGCACTGGGTGGAATTTAGGTGCACTTCATCCCAATTATTTAAAAAAAAAATTAACCCATGTAGAATAGATCTTCCCCGCCCCCCACCCCCCAAGCATCAGGGGTGAGTTCTCACCAAAATGAAAGGTTGAGAGTCCTCTAAATGCTGCCTGCTGAGCTAGTGTGACAAAACACACTACTGACAGTATCCATCTGCCATGATGTAATCCAGGAGAAGGGCAGTAGCCGGCTCCATGGGTCGGGGGTCTCCTGGGCAGGCTCGCTGTCTCACAGGCCTCCCCTTTTGGGTGACCCATTGCAGGTGGCCTTTTTCCTCTACAACGGGGTGTCCCTGGGCCAGTTTGTGCTGCAGGTGACCCATCCCCACTACCTGAAGAACTCCCTGGTCTACCACCCCCGGCTCCGAGCGCAGGCGTGGCGCTATCTGACCTACGTCTTCATGCATGCGGGGTAAGTACCCACCTTCCCTCACAGTCAGGACTCCCTACAGAGAAACAAGTGGTCCAGCCAGCCTGGGTCATGGTGTGTCTGCTTGGCTCAGAACTCCACTAACAGCAGAATAAGCCAGGAATGGTTGAAACTGTAAGGGGAAATTGCATAAAAAGCCGCTGGTTAGGGTCTGGTGTGATGGCTCAGTGGGTAAAAACCTCACCTGGCACATGCCAGGATCCTATAAGGGCATCGGTTTGTGTCCTGGCTGCTTCACTTCCCATCTAGCTCCCTGTTTGTGGCCTAGGAAAGCAGTGAAACATGGCCCAAAGCCTTGGTATCCTGCACCCGTGTGGGAGACCTAGATGAAGCTCCTGGCTTCGGATTGGCTCAGCCCCGGCCATCGGGGCCACTTAGGGAGTGAATCAGCAGATGGAAAATCTTTCTCTCTGTCTCCCCTTTAAAAAATACTTGTGAGATCACAGCAAAGTATTCACAGAAGTGGAACAACCATTCCAAACTTCCCAGCAGCCAAAGTGAACAGGGACATGAGATCCAACCACCACATTCCTTGTCTGAGTGAGGCCCCCAGTGAATGAAGTAAAAGACAAGTTGATTGCAGTACGCGCCTCCCCCGGCGGCCTCTATTGAGTGAAGGTGGGAAGCTCTACCAATCATTGTGGTTTCTGTTGGTGGAGCCCTGGGCACAGTCAGTTCTCACTGATGCCTCAGGTCCAGTCTCTCAGAGGGTGCTGATGTCAGCTGGAGGCCAGGCTCCCCTCGTAGAAATGCTAGGTTGGGGCCTGGCGTGGTAGCCTAGCAGCTAAAGTCCTTACCTTGCATGGATCCCACAAGGGTGCCGGATTGTGTCTTGGCTACATCACTTCCCTTCCAGCTCCCTACTTGTAGCCTGGGAAAGCAGTCAAGGACAGCCCAAAGCCCTGGAACCCTGCACTCGCATGGGAGATCCAGAAGAGGCTCTTGGCTCCTGGCTTCAGATTGGTTCAGCTCCAGCTGTTGCAGCCACATGGGGAGTGAACTGGCAGACAGAAGATCTTTCTGTCTCTCTCCACTCTGTAAAACTGACTTTCTTTCTTTCTTTCTTTTTTTTTTTAAAGATTTATTTTTATTATTTTTTTATTGGAAAGGCGGATATACAGAGAGGAGAGACAGAGAGGAAGATCTTCCGTCCGATGATTCACTCCCCAAGTGAGCGCAACGGCCGATGCTATGCCGATCCAAAGCCAGGATCCAGGAACTTCTTCCAGGTATCCCACACGGGTGCAGGGTCCCAAGGCTTTGGGCTGTCCTCGACTGTTTTCCCAGGCCACAAGCAGGGAGCTGGATGGGAAGTGGAGCTGCCGGGATTAGAACCGGCGCCCATATGGGATCCCGGTGCGTTCAAGGCAAGGACTTTAGCTGCTAGGCCACGCCGCCAGGGCCCTCTGAGACTTAAAGGTAGAAACATCTGTGCTGGTTTACTTCCTGAATGCCCGCCACAGTTGAGTCTAGCTTAGGCTAAAGCCAGGAGCCAGGAATTCAATCTAAGTCTGCCACGTGCTGCCTGCTGGGGGGCCTTCCTAGGAAGCTGCGGGTCACGGAACAGCCAGGCCTTGAACCCAGGTAGTCCTTTACAGAAGGCTGGTATTCCAACTGGCAGCTTAGCCCTCAGACCCAAAGCCCTCTCTCAGCCCTCTCCCTTATGTGTGAGGTCCTCAAAGAGGGTGACAGTGGAGGGTGGAGGTGCCAGGACACAGTCCAGTCTGTCAGCATGAACTTGCAGGTGCACTCGGAGTAAGCAGGTCCCTGTGTGGCCTCCACCCAGGCCAGCCGAGCTCACAGGTAGCTCCTGAAGCCGGGGTGCCTGCTGGTCCACGCTGTTCCTCTGTGACTTCAGCCATCCCTTGGGAGCTGTCCAGCTGCCGTGGGCTCAGGTTAAATAAGATAATGGATATGGAAGTGCTTGGTAAACATGAAAGCTTCACATTGACTTAATAATAACAGTGTTATAGTCTTTCCTGGTAATACGTGGACTTGTCTAGATACCCACACACTTAGCAACAAGCTCTGGTCGCAAAGGTCTTATGGAGTACAGAGGAAGACATTCACAAGGTTGGGAGCCCCATGTCCCCCTGACCTCCAGGATCTGGAGGCAGTGTGCTCCAGGAGGGAGGGGATGGTGAGGGGAAGGACCTTGAATTGCTAACCTCCAGGAGATCTCTTTAATGCTTATACCTGGTTTTGTTGTTGCTTTGCTTTGTTTTTTGTAAGGTTTGTTTATTTGAAAGTCAGAGTTAGGGCCCAACATGAAAGCCTGGCAGCTAAAGTCCTTGCCTTGCACTTGCTGGGATCCCATATGGGTGCCAGTTCTAATCCCGGCAGCCCCACTTCCCATGCAGCTCCCTGCTTTGTAACCTGAGAAAGCAGTTGAGGACGGCTCAAAGCCTTGGGACCCTGCACCCATGTGGGAGACCCAGAGGAAGCTTCAGGCTCCTGGCTTTGGATTGGCTTAGCTTCAACCGTTGTGGCCCCTAAGGGAGTGAATCAGCAGATGGAAGATCTTCCTCTCTGTCTCTCCTCCTTTCTGTAAATTAGACTTTTCAATAAAAAATAACTTAATTAAAAAAAAACAGAAAGTCCAAACCCAGCACAGTGGCCTAGCGGTTAAAGTCCTCAGCTTGAACGCGCTGGGATCCCATATGGGCACTGGTTCTAATCCTGACAGCCCTGCTTCCCATCCATCTCCTTGCTTGTGGCCCAGGAAAATCAAGGACAGCCAAAGGCCTTGGGACCCTGCACCCATGTGGGAGACTGGAAGAGCCCCTGAGTCCTGGCTTCAGATAGGCTCAGCTCCAGACATTGCAGTCACTTGGGGAATGAATTATCAGAAGATCTTTCTCTTCATCTCTCCTCTTCTTTCTATATATCTGACTTTGCAATAAAAATAAATACATCTTAAAAAGAGAGAGAGAAAAAAACTAGAGGGAAACAAAAAAGTCAGAGAGAGAAAGAGACAGAGAGAGGCAGGTCTTCCATGCTCTGGTTTACCCTCCAGATGGCTGCAATGGAGAAGGCTTGACCAGGCCAAAGCCAGGAGTGAGGAGCCTGCTCCAGGTGGCAGGAGCCCAGGCACTTGGGCCATCTTCTGCTGCTGTTTGTCCCAGGCCATGAGCAGGGAGCTGGGCTGTAGGTGCAGTCACTGTCTCAAACTAGCACCCAAGTAGGATGCCTGTGTTCCAACGGCAGCCCGCTATAGTTGTTTCAAGAGACCCTTTGTCTTATAAACACCAGGGAAGCGGAGCAACCAGATGGTCTGCTGGAGGGAGCTGGCCTGGCAGATGAGCAACCTGGGCTGTGGTCCCAGCCTGGTCACCAGTTGGTTGTATGACCTACACAGATCACTTCCTTGTGTCTTGACTCTGGTTCGTTCCACTCACTGTGTTAGTGGCAGACAGTGCCAGTCCCCACCCCAGCCCTGTGTGCTGCTCCTGTCACAGCTGGGAGGAACTGCGCTACCCACGTGATCCATCTGCCTGTCCCTCCTTGCTCCAGACCAGAGGCAGAGTCGGCGCTGTCCACATCCATGCTGCTAGCACCCCAGTATGGAGCATTCATGGAGCAGACAAGTGAAGGAGTGTGGTTTCTGTGTCACAGGATAGAACACCTGGGCCTCAATGTGGCACTGCAGCTGCTGGTGGGTGTGCCCCTGGAGATGGTGCATGGAGCCGCCCGCATCGGGCTCGTCTACGTGGCTGGCGTGGTTGCAGGTAGGCGGGTGTCCTTAGTCCTCTGTCTGTGGTGTCAGTCCCCCAAGACAGACCCTAGGCTTCCAGAACACATAGAAGAGTCCCATTATCAAAGCTCCTGCCTGCTGGGGTTATCCCGAGGGCTGGAAAGGGGGCTGCCACCCAGAGAGGTTGGCGTCTGGGGGTACAAGGGCCGAGAGCGCAGGATGTAGAATGGACAGGCGGACTGAATTTCTGTTTTCCTATAGTCACGCTGTCATCAGGTGAGCTTAGGGTTAGGCCCTGGGCCTGCCTTAACTCCCAGAAGGAGAGGCTGGAGAGGGCTGCCTGTGGGATTGTTGGGAGGGTGGACTGAGACACCAGCACCCCCAGGGGGAAATCGGTATGCTTCCCAGGCCTGGGGCAGCCCTGTACCCTTAACTATTAACAGGAGATCCTGGCTCTCCTAGGTCGGGGGCCTCTGGCTGAATGGGCACACTGGGGTTGTGGCAGATGGTCAGCGCCTTGCCACCTTCTTCCCTCTCCAGGGCCACTAGCTACAAAGCAGGGAGATTTCCATGTGGAAATAAACTCTCCTCCTCCGCCCCTCCAGCCCCTGGGCTTCCCCACAGAGGGAGCTCCATCATGACACTGGCAGCTCCATGCTGGCTTTTTTAAAGCAAGGTTTGCCACCTCAGCTCTTCAGCTTGACAGGCGGGCCCATGGGAGCTTTGTGTGTGTGTTTAAAGTAAGATCTTAATCCTTTCTGATTGGCATTAAAATTGTCATCGGGAGAACCGGCTAGTGCTGGCTTTGTAAACAGGGACCCTGCGAGTCTCCGAAGGGGACTCAGAAATCCCCAAGGGAAGGGACCTTCTCTGCCCCCACACAGTCTGCCTTGCAATCCTCTAGCCCAAAAGGCTTCCCCACCCTAGCACCATTGCCTTCCCACCTCTGCCACTTTGGACAGTGCCCACGGCCTCTCCCCCAAATCCCCGTGGCCACATCCTCCAGCCACGGCCTAGTGACTGTCTCCATTTGCCAGACTTGCGCAGGTACCCCATGCAGCCCCTGGGCCTGGCATCTGGGGATTGATAGCTGCTGCATGTTCCCTTACCTAGGCGGCCGCAGTCCCAGATGTTGAATGGCGAGGAACCGGGAGATGACTCCGCTCACAGCGCCGCCCACTGCTTGTGTCCCATTAGGCAAGGATTGCTGATCATCTGCAATACAATGTGAAATGACTCAGATCTTGTCCAAACAGGTGTCATGCAGTGGGGAGACAGTGTAGGCCAAGTGGGGACAGGCATAGACAGAGGCAGGTGAGGCTGTCTCAGGCACACCCTTCTGAGTCATCAGATGAGGTAGGAGGTCGCTCTGGTCACCGTGGAGCACGTCATTGATCACCAAAGGCTAAGTTGATTGATCTGCTGGCGGGCCTCCTTGGAGAGGGATGCCCATTTGCAGATGGTCAGAGCCTGGCAGGCCAGCCAGGAGTTACCAGTGCCCATCCTCTGCGGGTCTATATGGACCCCACACGGCCCCCGTCCACCTGGCGTGCACACAATAACCACAGCTTAGAGGTGAAGGGACCTGCTTATGAAGACACCACTTGTCAGGGCCAGAGCTGGGCTTGCACCTCAGTCTGAGCTCTGGGATCTAAACCACTTCTGTAGCATGAGCAGAGTAAAGTGGGGGACCTGTTCTCTTGTGGAGGTCAGTCATTGTCAACAGCCGCAGGAGGCCTCCATAGGTCCTTGACCCTCCTCTGATCCTTGTGGTGAAAGTGTTCCAAACTGTCGCCTCTGGGGACCATGACAGTGAAGCCCCTGCTGAGGACCTGCCGTGCTCCAGGCACGTGACAGAAGGCTCTCCTGTTTTCATCATAGCAGCCCTGGGGTGTGGGTGCCAGCACCCCACTTCTTGGGGGTTCAGAGGAGTGAGGTAGCTCGCTCTGTTTCCTCAGCGAAGGAGTGGCTGAGCTGAGGGGGGGAGTTAAGTGGCTTGAAGCCAGTGAGCATGACTGCAGCTCACAGCTCCAAAGCGAGAATACCTTCCGTGCCTCAGCCACCAGATCTTGGACTCCTCCCCCAGCTTCTGTTACAGATGATTCCGATTTTAAGCCACGGGAGTGCATCCTCTGAGCATAGCACACAGTGCAGCACATCTCAGGTGCTAAATATTCATAGAATGAATGGAAGAATACATGAGTAAAGTTACGTTTCTTAAAGATAGGTGTTCTGCTGGGTTTTTATTCAGGCTTTTTTTTTTTTTTTCTGGCCCAAAGAGATGTGGGAGAGCACCTGCTTGAAAGCTTTCCAGGCTGAAATGACCACAGCTATGTATCATAGCAGTTACCAGCTGATCTACTAACTGCCTTGGAGTCAGGCCTTTTTTGGGGGGGGAAGGGAGTGGGTAAAGGAATGCACAGCCCTAAGTAGAACCCATCCGTTGGTCTGCGTGGTGCAGAAGTGCGGTGTAGCAATACACTTCGCCATTCTCTTAGTCCTCCGCACCCAACCACAGCCTCTGTGGGGCCTGTGGAGCCTGTGGGGCCAGGAACTGAGCCCCAGCCCCTAGCTCTTTTGTGAAGACCTGGATCATTGGCCTCCTTAATGGCAAAGGGATATTTAAGGTCCCCCCTGTATACAACAAACTCTGCTCCCCGGGGGGCCCCATCTTCTTTCAGTTAGAGCAACTCCCTGGGCTCTGCGCTGTGGACTGGGGAGTCTCCAGAGGGTTTCCTTGGAGAAGAGAGTTCTGGAATAAGCATGTGGCACAGTGTAAGATGCCATGTGGAAAGCTCCCATTCTGTATCAGACTGCCTGAGTTCAAGGCCCGACTCTGATCTCAGTTCTGCCTTCCTGCTAAGGTGTACCTCTGGAGGCAGTGAGTGGTGGGGCCCCTGTAGCCCACAGGGCAGCCCCAGAATGAGTTCCTGGCCTTGGCAGTGCTCTGACCCAGCCCTGACTGTGGTGAGCGCTTGGAGAATGAACCAATGGGTGGCGATCTCTCTGTGTGTCAAATAAATATTTGAAAAAAGCAAAAGCAACACTTATGCTCAAAACTTGGAAAACCTTTGACTTTATCTTGCAGATGTGAAAACTAAAGCCCAAAAAAATCCAGGGGCTGTGCCCCAGATCACACAAGCAGACAGCCACAAACCCATTCTGTGTATTTCTTTCTGCCATTATCATCTAAGCCAGCCCCTGGACCTAAGGTCAGGACAACAAACTCTGCTGGGTTGAGTGAAGGGTCGATGTGTGTGCAGGGTTGGAGCCTGGCAGGCACCCCTCCTGGTGGGTCACCCCAGTGTGGGGTAGGAGAGCTGGCTCTGTGTGGACTGCATGGGTGTGCACACACAGGGGAGGTCAGGCCCTGCTCTGTGCAGCTGCTGGGGAACCCTGTCTGCTTGTGGCCAACGTGGGAACCCTTTGTCATGCAGATCCCACTGCCTTTCCCTGGAGCCTCTCTGGAATTCCCCCCTCCCCTGTTATATATGACCGACCCCACAGCCAGCCCTTAAAAAAGAAAGTGAAAGAAAGTTTTCTGACAATAGATCAATACCTAATTAAAGCCAGAGAAAAGCATGAAGAGAGGAAAGATTTATAGTGGCCCTGGGGGTGCAGAATGACATGGGAAGCCTGAACTGGGGATGGCTTGGATTTTTTCTCAGGGAGATTCCATCCCATCCCATCCCCAGGGATGCTCTCTTCCCCCTAAGGGGTCTCTACGAACAAGCCTGGAGTGAGGTGGGGGATGACTAGACTGGTTCCAGTGGAAGGGCCTCCACTTCAAGTCCTCAGGTGCCCTTACATGCCCCCTCCGCAGACACTGCACCTGCAGGCTGCTTCCTGCTGTCCCTCCTCTCTCTGGCAGCTAATTGGCCCTCACGCCTGCGGGCATTTCCCCCGCTGGCCAGCCTCCTCCTGGCCTCTCAGTCCTGGGCTCTACCTCCTGGTTATTTTTAGTCTCCTGTGTCCTTCCCTGGAAGCCAGAGCATTGATCACACTTAAATGAGACCAGAACAATAAATTTCCCATCTCTTCTCTGCCCAGCTTTCCCTTCCAGCACAAAAGTTTGCCATCTCCTCCTCAGCAGGCAGGCCTCCACACTCCTTTCCCCAGGAGAGCATGACATCATCTCCTTCCTCCCAGGCGCTCTGCAAGGACATTTTTTCCTCCATGGATGCCCACTCCAGAGACCCTCTTGGCCTTCTGTGCTTCAGCCTGGCTGCCGGGAGATGGGGGTGAGGCTTCCAGGCACAGTGAGCAGAGGGGTGAGGAAGAGCACAGGGTTAACTTCCCTGTCTTCTGTCAAGTACATGGATGATGGCATGGAAGTACATGGAAGGCATCTGGCCTGGCAGTGAAGAGCCTGCTCACGATTCCCATCGCCACCATGCACCTGATTCCAGCTACTCTGCATACCCTTGGGGGCCAACAGGCAATGGCTCAGGGACCTGGGTCCCTGCCACCCAAGTGGGAGACCCCAGCTGAATTACATGCTCTCGGCTTGAGCTGCTAGGAGCATCTGGGAAGTGACACGGCAGATGAGAGCTGCCTGGCTCTCTGCCTTGAATTCAGCTCTTCCCAGCAGGAAGATGCTTCTGCCTGCATCTCCACTGGGCTATTGAGAGTTGAAGGGAAATATGTGTGATACAAGGCACCCCCAGGGATATGTTTCTGCAGTAATTGCTGTTGCCACCATGCTGGTTAGTGCTCTAGAACCTGCTTGAAAGCCCAGCATGGTGGCTCAGTGGCTAAGTGCTCACCTTGCAAGCACCAGGATCCCATATGAGCGCCAGTTCATGTCCCAGCTGCTTCATTTCCCATCCAGCTCCCTGCTTGTGACCTGGGAAAGTAATGGAGCATGGCCCAAACCCTGGGACCCTGCATCTGCATGGGAGACCTGGAGGAAGTTTCTGGTTCATATCAGCTCAACTCCAGCTGTTGCAGCCACTTGGGGAGTGAATCAGCGGACAGAAGATTTTTCTGTCTCTCCTCTCTGTAAATCTGCCTTTCCAATAAAAATAAATAACTATGTATTTTTAAAACCTACTTGAGGAGGGTGCAGGGTGAGATGCGTGACCCAGATATTAGTCTAGGTTCTCCTTTGGGGAAGGCCACTTCCCTTCATTGAGTCTGGTTTCCCATCCACATTATGAGATGATTGACACCAATGCTTCTTTTAGCCAATCAGTGTTCCTCTAGGAAACCCCTCAGAATCTCCAAGGCACCATGGAATCTCACCCTGGTCTTTCTCACAGCACCTGCAAAATCCAAGCCTGGGGTTGTGGTCAGGGAGCGGAGTCCAACCGTCTCTAGAAGTCTCACTCTCTCTGTGTGTCTCTCTGTACCAGGGTCCCTGGCGGTGTCCGTGGCTGACATGACTGCACCAGTTGTGGGCTCTTCTGGAGGGGTGTATGCGCTTGTGTCTGCCCATCTGGCCAACATCGTCATGGTGAGCATACCCTGTCCCCAGCACATCTCTCTCGTGCTGCTCGACTGCGGTCCCTGGGCCTGGGTGTTCATGTGCTAGAACATTCCCTCGTAGGCCATCAGACCCACCAGGCTGACCCGGCTGGTGGCACAGTTTGTATACACACTTCTCTGACAGGTCTGTTCTGTTTGCAGTGTGTGTCTCAGCAGTCAGGCTTGGTCGGTAAATGTCCTCCTGCCCCCTCTTTCCTGGCCAGTAACTTCGAGAAGCATTGCAGTCTGACCACTCAGCCGGCACGCCCCTTGTAGCTCTGCATTCTTGATTTGGGGGGAGGGGAGAGGAGGAAGATCTTAAAGATTATCTCACCAAATAGGAGAGGAAGCTCTGAAAGGTTAAGTGATGTATCCAAAATCACGTTTAAGTCTGTGACCAATTCAGAACTTGAACTCCCACCCCTTTTCAGCCATTCAAGGGTTGTACTCACTGCCCCGGGAGGCAGGTACTGGATGATTCCTCACACTCCCTGCTGCCTTTCAGGAAAAGGGGTGGTAAGTGCAACAGTTGAGAGCATAGCCATGACGCCTAGTGCGTCACGCTTCCTCAAGTGCGAGACCTTGGACCAGTTACCTCACTGCTGTGCGCCTCGTGTCTCATCTGTGAAATGGATTGATGTGCAATAAGTGCAGTGACGTGACAACACATGCTTAGTGTCAATTCCCTGATCCTCAGCAAAGAGGCAAGCTGGACTCAGAATAGACAAGGGCGCCAGGGAAGCGACTGGGATGCATCAGAGAGAATGCCAGGGCCCTGGGATTAGAGGAAGGCTAAGATAAAGGCACAGTCCAGGTGGCACCTGGCTGCCTTCGCCTTATGCCCCCAACCAGCCTAGGAGCCTCCAGGCCCTGCTCACCTGTGTCCCCAGAGCCTGGCAGAGTGCTGGCTACCCCAACTTTTAGTACAGGAAAGAATGAAGAAGGAACAGTGGGGAAGGATTCAGAAAAGGCATAGCTTCTCTTTGGGGTCCTCCTCCTCTCACCCTGTCCTCCACCTGCCTGTCTGCTGCAGTGGGTGAGCCAGAGGCTGGGTAGGGGCTCAGGCAGGCAGCTGTTGATGTCCTCGATACGTCTGAGTTCTTGATTTGCCCCAGCTCCCAGTCCGCTGTGTCCACTGAGAGAACAGGAGAGGTAGGGCAGAGCCTGGGTGCCCACACCTGCAGCTGAATTCTGGTAGTGCTCCATGAGCAAGCGCTCGCTCAGGGGGTGTCAGCACAGGGTCCGGAACCTGGGGGCTCCCACGCCACCGGCCTGCTGCTGCCTCACACGGTCCTCCTTTTAAATGGGTCATTGCTATCAGAGCCACATCTTTCCCCAGACGCAGCTTTTCTTCCGAATTTTGCCTCCCCTACTACCCCTCCCCCTGCCCCAGTTCCTCTCAGCCGGGCAGGAAAGGCTAGCCTCTTCCTCCGGTGTATGCCCTCCAACCCCCAACACACACACAACACTGTTGGTGGGGGGACACTGCACGATGGAGGGCATCCACACAGATGCTCTGTCGTCTGCCCCCCTTGAAGGGAAGCTGTACTGCCACCCTTGTGAGCTCTCTTGGCCTGGCACACCTTGGGGCAGGGCCCAGGGTGGGGCACAGGTGGGCGTGGAAGCCACGGCAGAGTTCCAGTTGGCATCTTCTAGTGTGAGACTGTGGGATGAACGGGCCTGTCTGAGAGCCAGAGGCTTCAGCCACCCAGGAGTAAGAAGCTGGTAGCCCCAGGGCGTGCCGTGTGGCCTGTCCTTCCCCAGAACCGATGCTGCTGAATGATGGCGTGAAAGGAAGCACTCGTTTTCTCACAGCACAGGCAGAGGCTTCCCTTCGTTGGGAAGTAGCGCAGTCTGAGCAGCAAGTTACCTGCTTACGGCTCGGCCATGGCTATCGCTCAGGGACTCGTCAACGCCGCAGTCTCGTATGGCTCAACTATAGAGACAGAAGTCTAGAAGTGGAACGTGCTGTGTGGATGTGGGGCTTGGTCCATGGTGAAGTGCCGCCTCCAAGAATAAAGCAGTAAAAGCCCGCTCCCCCCGGGGGGCGGGGAACAAGGCAGGAGGGCAGTCAGGACCCCTGGGTTTGAGCCCATCATCACCATCTTCATGGCTGTGAGTCTGTCTCCCCTAACTCTTCCAGGGCCTCAGTTCTCCCAACTGTGGTAGCAAGGTCTGAGGAAAGGGACACGAGAGTGCCTTCCAGCTGTGGGATCCCGCGTGCTTCTCCACACATTTGTGTACAAAATTGCTGGTCAGTTCTGCCAGAGACCTATACAGAGAAAAATCGGGAAAATAGCCTCTTTTTTAAGATTTATTGATTTTCATTGGAAAGTCAGACATATAGAGAGGAGGAAAAACAGAGAGGAGGGTCTTCCTTCCATTGATTCACTCCCCAAGCAGCCACAACGACTGGAGCTGCGCCAATCTGAACCCAGGAGCCTCCTCCGGGTCTTCCACACGGGTGCAGAGTCCCAAGGGTTTGGGCCATCCTCAACTGCTTTCCAGACCACAAGCAGGGAGCTTGCCAGGAAACAGGGCCGCCGGGATTAGAACCGGTGCCCATTTGGGATTCCAACGTGTGCAAGACGAGGACCCTAGCCACTAGGCTACTGTGCTGGGCCCGGCTCTTCTTTTCTCTTCAGGCATGTCTAAGTGTTGCACAATTCTGTTCTCAGGACAGACTTTTTTTTTAAGGTATGATTGATTTGAAAGGCAGAGTTACGGAGAGAAGGAAGCCAGGAGCTTCTTCCAGGTCTCCTCCATGTGTGCAATGGTCCACGGACTTGGGCCATCCTCTGCTGCTTTCCCAGTCCATAAGTAGAGAATTAAATCAGAAATGAAGGAACCAGGACTCAAACCAGTGCCATACGGGATGCTTTGCTGCAGGCAGAGGCTTAGCTTACTCTACCACAACACCAGCCCCATCTCAGCACTAGGTTTTAAACAGGAGACTTTTTCTTAAGGGAAAATAGGTCTTGTCTTTCATAAAAACATAATGGTGTTCCAAACGGCTTGAAGAGGCCTTGAATTCAGAAGACACTCTAACAAGATCTGCTTTGCGAAAGATGCATGAGCTGCGCTTCTTTTAAACACTGGAAGTACAGAGACCCTGAGAGTTGAATAATTTATTAATTGCCCTCTGCTGGGGCCAAGAGTTCCGTTTTTAACTGTACAAGAGGTTTACTTATGCCATGTCCCACGTGGTACATGTTACTCTAAAATGTCTGCCGTCTGAATTTCCGCAAGCAGAGCCAGTTGCCTGGTCCAGTGTCTATGCCACCCTTTCGCATTTCCTCTCTTGGGGTCTCCCGAAATCTCTCACAAAGAGAAACCCTTCCTACCAGGGCTGTTTCAAGTCGTGTTGGGACAGAAGCTCCTTGCCCGGGCTCTGGCCTCTGTGCTTGAAGTGATGGGGTGAGGAAGGGGCCGAGGGCCTGGGTGCGGGTGTGTCTGCTGTGGGCAGGTGGTGGTCTCAGCTGGTGCAGTTCTGGGAGAGAAAGGAAGGAGGCTGTGGAAGGTTTGTGTCCCCGGGGGCCCTACAGCCTTTCCCCATAAAGAGCAGCAGGACCGGCGTGCGTGCGTGTTGTGTGTGAGTGTGCACACTTGCACTCCTCTCATTGGCAGGGATAATGCATCCCAGAACTGGAGGCAGCTGGCAGGAGGGGTGACTGTCGGGTTTAACCCCTCAGCTGCTAGAAGACCCACACTCAGCCTTGGGGAAAGCCCTGTCAACCATCCGGGTTAGGCAGCAGAGGTGCCTAGAGTGTAACCCTGTCCCTGAAACATGGCAGGCAGAACCTGGGAACCTGCCCAGCTGCTACGGACTCCCGGTGACCCTGGACTCGTTCTCCTGGCTGCTCAGTTTCTCCCTCCATGTAGGGCTGGGCTGCATCAGCTTGGCTCACTCCAGCCAAGGCAGAAGTTTCCAGGCTCTGGCCTGCGGATTGCTGCCATGAAACCATGAACTCTCTCCGAGGTCCTTCAAAGTGAGCATGTGGAAAATCACTCTGGGTGCTGCCGTGGTGATGGCACAGGGAAAGCCATGGGTGCTGGTGTCTCATCTGAGCTCTGGTTCTGGTCCCTGCTGTTTTGCTTCCCATCTAGCTCTCTGCAAATGCACGTGTGTGGGAGACTTGGCTGGAGTCCCTGGCTTGGGCATGAACCAGCCCCTGACCTTTGCAACCATTTGGGGATAAACCAGTGCAAGGAAGATTTCTCCCCCGTGTCTTTCCCTCTGTCCATCTCCTCTTCCCCCGTCCCCCATCCTGTGCCCCAGGAGAGCTGAGTGAGGTGTACCAGGGATGCCCGCTCATGGTGACTTGCTCTGCCTGATAATGTTGTTGAGAGCACAGGGAAAGAAATGAGTTATTTTGAGGCTTTTGTAAGGAAAGGGGATGTTAGGATTGTGCTGTGTCACTTGTGTTACTTACTATTGTAAATGCACACAATGTAAAATTTACCATATTGGTAGTATACATGCAGTTCAGTGGCACTGAGAACATTTGCACTGTTTTTTTTAATTATTATTTATTTTTTAATTGGAAAGTGAGATTCATGGAGAGAAGGAAAGACAGAGAGAAAGGATCGGTCTGCTGTTCCACTCCCTAAGTTGCCACAATGGCCAGGGCTGGGCTGATTTGAAGCCAGGAGCCAGGACCCTCTTCTGGGTCTCAAACACAGGTGCAGAGTCCCAAGGGTTTGAGCCATCCTCAACTGCCTTCCCAGACCACAAGCAGGGAGCTGGATGGGAAATGGAGCAGCCGTGATATGAACTGGCATCCACATGGGATCCCGGTGCATTCAAGTGAGGACTTTAGCTACTAGGCTACTACACCAGGCCTCCCCCTGCTTTTTTTTTTTTTTTAAAGATTTGTTTATTTTGAAAAAGTGTACAAGAAATAGTTGTTCACCTACTGGTTCACTCCCAATATCGCTGCTACAGTCAGTACTGGGCCAGCCTGAAACCAGGGGCTCTATCTGGATCTCCTATGGGGGTGACAGGAGCCTAGGCACTTGGTCCATTTTCTGCTGCTTTTCTCAGGCCGTTAGAAGGGAGCTGGATGGGAAACAGAGCACCCGGGACACAAAGAACTTAACCCACTGGCCCCAGCATTCACATTATATGTGGCCATCCCTGCCATCCACTCGGACCCTTTGACCGAAGCTCTGCCTCCATTCCGCAGTGGCTCCTGCTTCCCCTCTACCCCCGCCTGTGTGGCCCACCATTCTACTTTCCATCGGCCAGGGCTTGACCACTCTGCGTTGCTCATGTGGGTGGAAGCACATGGGACCTGTGTGTCTGTGACTGTAATATATCCCTTAGAGTCTGGTCAGAGTTTGTCTGCACTGTAGTCTGGGTTGAGTTCACTTTCTTGCTAATATCGAGTCCCATTCCATCCAGCGTCTGTACCAGATCTCGTTGGTCTGTGCATCCAGCCACCACTCGTTCTTTGATGGACACTGGAGTTGCTGTTGTGAACACTGAGCACGGATGTCCCTCGAAGAATTAAGACTGGTGGTAGGGGGGACACTTGAGGGAGCACGCTAAGCATTCCACATGGGTGCTGGCTTGAGCTCTGGATGCTCCATTTCTGATCCAGCTTCCTATCAACGGCCTGGGAACGCAGTGGAGATTGGTCCAAAAGCTTGGGTTCCTGTACCTATGTGGGAGACCCAGAAGAAGCTTCTGGCTTCAAATTGGTCCAGCTCTGGCCATTGCAGGAGTGAACCTCTCTCTTTGTCTCTCTCTCTAACTCTGCCTCTGTCATTCTGCCTACAGAGTGGCCGTGTGTCATCCTCTTCTCTTGAAGACAGGGCTGCCAGTCATAGGGGAACAACAGGGAGAGACAAGACTGCGGGGAGCCAGCTTTCTCCCGGAGCTCTGCTGTGTGGCGGCTTCCCCACATCCGGCTTGCTGGGCTGCAGCCTTTGTAGATGTTACAGTACACACCGCCTATTCACCGCCTCTGTCTAGTGTAGCCGTCTGTCCCTGCAACCTCAAAGGCGTGCGAGACATGCCCTGGAGCTGGGCCCGGGCCAGGCACAAAGGCCGTCAGAGAGGGAGGGGCGACAGAAGTTGCCGGCTGTGCCTGGAGCTTCTGTCCCAGTGGCTGATGCTAGGTCCCTCAGCCACCGCCACCACTGAAGCTGACAGAACTGACGTGGGCTCCTGGATGAATGGGGCCCTGCTTTGAATGCCCCGCCAGAGTGCCCCTCAAAGGCAGCCCGTGGAGAAGTCTTTTGTCAAATGAGAGATCCTTTTGTAAGGGCAGTGATTGTACTCTGTTGATGTGCTTTGCAGAGCTGGGGTTTTCAGAGCTGCTAGGAAAGTGATGGCTTGAAAGCCATCTGCCTCCCTCCCCACTCATGATTCTGCCTCAGAGCAAATCCCCTATCCCCTAGAGCTTCCAAGATCCTGTTGGGAGCCCTCCGCAGGTGGGGCACTGACCACCTGCCTGACAGACCCATCTCTATAGACAGTTGCACTTAAAAGTTGCACCCCAGAACTCAGATCCACCTCTCATGGTCTTACTGAGTCTTTCACCTGCCCAGTCTTTGGCTCACAGTTTAAGCCAACTGTGCCTTTTCTTACTGTCAACAGTGAGCTTGACCTCTGAGCTTTTGGTCTCAAATATCCAAGCCTCTTGTGCAGGATTTAGAGTTTATTCATCTTCCCCATCCACCTGGGTCAACATGCCTTAGTTTGTTGTCCTGGATCCCTTGAGAGCCGTGGTACCTGGCAATTCGTGCCACCCTCAGATGCTGCCCTGGAGGGAGGGCATGGACTGTCCCTCCCTGGCTCAAGGGCGTTGGTGACAGCAGCCAACTTAGCATTGCCTGAAGTCTCCAAGGCACCCAGGTGGGTACCTAGATGTGATACCTAGGACTTCTTGAGGATGAAGAGACCAGAGTCCCGCCCCAGCGTCCTCTGCCACTGCACTCACTGAACTCTTTCCTTCCCTAGAACTGGTCGGGCATGAAGTGCCAATTCAAGCTGCTGCGGATGGCTGTGGCCCTGATCTGTAGTAAGTACCCACAGGGCAGATGGTGGAGGGAGGAAGGAAGCCTGGTTCCCAAGCACCAGTTGGAGATGCAGAGACATCACACCCCATACTTTCTAGGGGCTTATGGTCAGAAAAAGAGGGAGGGGAGGCAGGCAGGCACCAATGATGTGTGAGATGCAGGGACAGAGAATCTACACACAAAAACATGATCAGCCACCAACACTCACATCAGGACAAATTGTTCTAGCCTTTTGGGTCACAGGAGTTGGCCTTTAGAATTCACCTGTTTCAAAGATGTCCTCTTTGTGTTTATTTGAGAGACTGGCAGGTAGAGTACAGCTGTCTTCTAGCTGACTCCCCAAATGAGAGTTGGGTTCCCCAGCTAGGGCCAATGCCAGGAGCCAGGGAGTCAGTGCAGGGACCCAGGGAACGTGTTAGTAAGGAGCAGAAATCAGGACTCAGGTTAGGACTCCAAGTAGACATGCCAATATACAGCATGGGCATCCCAACTGGCGTCTCAACCAGTGCTTCAAATGTCCACTTGACACCCGTCCCTGGTGTGTATGTGTGTGTGTGAGAAAGAGACACACAGGCATGTGTATACATACAGAGAACACTGCAGTGTAAGCGGCTTCACCAGCTATAGCTAATCCAAGAGCCCCTGTGCAGAGATTGTACTGGGGCAAGTCCAAGTTGGCAGAGGTCAGTTCCCCCAGAAGACTTTGAAGTACCAGCACCCAGCAGATAGCTGCGGGTGGACAAGATGCAAGAGGGTGAGGCGCAGCCCTGGGTGAGGGCACAGAGAGGGGTGCAGGGGCATAGCCAGAAAGGGGGCTGCAAAACTGATGGGTGAGGTGCTTGACTGCATGTGCTCATGGGTAGAGGGAAAGGGCAGTGCGGCTGCAGAGGTCAAGATCATCGTGCTGGGTTTCAGAAGCTAAGGGAAGCAGCACACTTTGTCTGGATGGAGGGCTGCAAACGGTGGAGTTGGGTCAGTTGTAGGTTTGGGAGGCAGAGTGGAGACTGCTAGGTGTGTGTTGATGGGAGAGTAGGGGAGGGGTTGAGAGCTTTTGGGTCTGCTTATCTCAGAAAAGAAAGAGAAGCGAGAGTCGTGTGTGTGTGTGTGTGTGTGTGTGTTCTTAGAAGAAATCCAAGGCTAAGCATCATAGAAATGGAAGGTTGGTTTTCAAGTGGGACCCACCATCTGCATCTTTCTTTATTCAGCCAGTAGGCCCAGCCAAAGAGGCAGGAAAGATGCCCCAGGGCTGGGACAGTGCTCCTCTCCCGCCATCTATCGGTCATCCCTGGAGTTGCAGGGCGCATTTCTGAGGGTTAGACCAGCCTCCGGCCAGGGGAGTGGAAATCCCTGGAATGGATCTTAAGAGGGGTGCTCTGGTTAATTAGGCAGTCACAGAGCTAGTACAGAAGTCCACTCAAAGGCATTACTTTTCAAATTTTCCCCAGTTTCCTTGTCTGAGACATGAATACGGAACCCCTACCCTCACTGTGTTCTCGTAGTGGCCAGTAGCAACACGTACTGTATGCTTGCACTTGTCCTTGCGTGAGGCACCAACCTGAGACAAGCCAACCCAGGGTGCTCACAAAAGGAGGGTGGATTGGGCTGAGGACGCTTAGAGATGTGTTCAGGGAGGCACTGCAGCCGTTTGCAGGGCATTTCTGCTCCATCCTTGTCTTCTCTCCACCCGTCCCTCCCGTCCACAAGCTCCAAGTCTGAGATTCTGCGCTAAAAGCACCTCAGAGACTAGGTGCATAGCTAGGCGCACAGGCAGGTGGTTGTTCACAGCTCCCGACTGCAGCCTGGCCTTGCTGCTCAGTAGATGGACAGGCGGGAGGCTGAGCGCCCAGGAATCACGATGGGTGTGTGGTGTGCAAGGCCCTGTGGGCTGCTGTCCCAGCTGTCCTTGGGGCCCAGGACGCACTCCAGGGCCTCCTGCATCTTCTGAGCTCAGCTCAGCAGCCACTTCATTTCGGGTGGCTTTCCCCAGCTTCACCCACTGCCCTGGCTGCTGCTTTCTCTGAAGGTCCTTACTCATGAGTGGGCTTCTTGGCTGCTTCATGGTCAGCCCCTCCCCGGCCCGTGACTCATCTCCGCTTCCTCTCCTTGCAGTGAGCATGGAGTTTGGGCGGGCTGTGTGGCTCCGCTTCCACCCGTCGGCTTATCCCCCGTGCCCTCACCCGAGCTTCGTGGCCCACCTGGGCGGCGTGGCCGTGGGCATCACGCTGGGTGTGGTGGTCCTGAGGAACTACGAGCAGAGGCTGCAGGACCAGTCGCTGTGGTGGATCTTTGTGGCCATGTACGCCATCTTCGTGCTATTCGCCGTCTTCTGGAACATCTTTGCCTATACCCTGCTGGACCTGAAGCTACCACCGCCCCCGTAAGGGGCCCGAGGACCCAGGCAGGGGAGGGGAGGGAGTTCTGCAAGGCCAGGAAAGCACCGGAGATGGAGACCGGCAGGATGGCCGCTGCTGGGTTTTTGTTCAGATTGGGTCTGGGTGAAGGCCTGGGCAGGGCGCAAGGGACCTCCTCTCTGCCCCTGTCCCTGACCTGGGTTGGGTTTGTTGCAGGTAGGTCCCCTCCTCATGTTCTTCCCCATTGCCAACTGGACTGCAGCCTGCCTGACACCCTTGCCCTGGGGTAGACGGGTGTCCCCAGAGAGTATAGGCCAGGCAGTGTTCTTGGGATTGGAGGGTCTGGAGGTGGGGGCAGCCATGATCCTTGGTGCCTGGGCTAAGGAGCCCAGTGACAGGAAATAACCTCACCCCAGCTTCTACCCCAGGGCTTAAGCCCAGCACCCATTTCCGGCAGCCCTCCACCCTGTTTCTTCCAGAATGCTGATAGCCCACCCCAGCCTCATTTGGGGGGTTTGTCCCACCCTTGGACCCTTATACATGCCTTTGAACCTCCCCTGTGGCTGTGGAGACAGATTTGGGGGTGGCCTGGGGCATCTGTGTTTGATGGAGAAGACAGCCTGTGACTACTCAGAGTTCATAGAGGAAGTGTCCGAGTCAGCAGGCGCGTGGGGCAGTCTGCAGGAGGGCGCGGGGACAGGAGCTGCGGAGCCCAAGTGTCCTTGCCCTCGGCCAGGCTCCCAGGCTCCTTTGCTGCCTTCAGAATGTGCCTGGAGACTCCCTGACACCAGCAGGAAGGCTGTATTGGGAGCCATCTCTCGCCCTTCTGGGGACCCTGGCCCAGTTCTGGGGTGGCCTTCGTATCTGAAAAGTCTGCCTCCCCATCAGGGACAAGGTTGGGGTGCAGGAGACTCTAGGGGAGGGAAGTCAAAGCCATGGGTCCCTTTGAGCCAAGGGGGAGGAGGCCAGGGATGAATTCCAACTGAGGTGGGAAACTTGGCCCTGGGGACTCATGAGGAGCTTGGGTGAGGGTCATAGGGGAGGGACTCAGGGGCGCAGGGGCAGGAGTTAATCCAGAGACCAGCAAGTCTGCCCACCCCTTCACAGATGAAGGTACTGGGAGCTGGTGCTAAAGGCAGGCCCTGAGGGGTGGGGGTGAGGAGGAAAACCTGTTTTGGGGACTTGTGATCAGATAGATGGGTGAGGAGTGCCCCAGCCTGGGAGGCGGCAGCTGGACTGTGTCCAGCTGTGGAGTGGAGCCTCTGCCTCGTGCCCGGATCCCTGTGTGCTGCAAGGCACCCTGTCAGACAGGCCAGGTGTGCTGGCTCCTGGGACCTCTGGGACTTCCTATTCCTGTGAATCCATGGAACTTGGGCAGTGTCATGAAGCAGGTGAGCTGGGAGACCCTGGGGGCTCATTTCCTGTCAGCCTGAGTCCTGTGGGCCTGATCCAGGATGGGATGCTTGGTCTGGAGCAGCTGGTCCATGCCCTGCCTGCCTTTCTCTGCCCTAGTGAGATAGTGAATGGGAGCAGAGGGCTGGGAGAGCCGGCTTCCTGGGACAGGATATTGAGGTCACCTAGCTAGGGACTGAGGCGGGTGCCCTGGTGGGAGTGGGGCTTCCCCTCCTAGAAGTTGGCCCAGGATGAAGTCTTTGCTTGGGGGACATGGGAGTGTCCTTGGACACCCCCATCTGTCCCTGTCTTGGTATCCACCATGCCTAACCAAGGTCTTCGAGTGGGGAGAGTGAAGTCGGCTGGCTGACTAGAGAGGTCCGACCTCTTTAGCAGGTCCCTGGGCTCTCGTCCCTCTTCGGTTCCAGCCAGGCCAGGGTGCGGGGGAGTGCTGTGGGTCTGAGAGAGGCTGGAAATGCCACTCGATGGTGAGACAGGAAAGGTGTGTCATGTTCCGGAGGAGGAAACACTACATTGCAAAGCCAACCTGACACCAGCTGGCATCCCCGTTCCACTTTGGGAGAGCTCACTAATGAGGCTCTTGCCAGCCAACAGGACTCCCTGTTTCCATGAGAGCCAATCTCGCACGGAGGGTCTGGGGAGCCTGGCTGGGCTGGTGGATCCTGTAGCTGAGGCCCCTTCCCAGCCCAGGCAGGTGCCAAAGCTCTTGGCTTCGCTTGCCTTACGGCAGTGCTCCAGCAGGCATCAGCGCTGGGAAATGAGTGGGAACACAACGTGGGTTTCTAAATATTTTTGTATTGTGTACATTCTGTATATTTTTGTTGTAAAGTATTATTTGAGCACAGATTCCATTAAAGATTTTTTTTAAGCCACTGGTTATTCAAGAAGTGACCTGAAGGAGCCCGCTTGGAACGGGTGAGTGAGGGAAAGTGGGCGGTGATGGTGGTGGAGCTGACGAAAGCGGGGCATCGGCGCTTGGCTATTGTCGTCCCAGCTCAGTGACGCTTAGCCTTTCCCAAGTCCTTCCACTCTCTCTTTAGGTCCTCTTAAGATTGTATGTGTTTAAAACAGCTGGAGGGAGAGACAGATCTTCCATCTGCTGGTTCACTTCCCCAAATGGCTGCAACAACCAAGGATGGGTCAGGCTGAAGCCAGGAGCTCCATGCAGGTCTCCCACCTGGGTGGCAGGGCCCCAAGCATGTGCGCCATCCTCTGGTGCTTTTCCAGGTACATCCCAGGATCTGGATGAGAAGTAGCGCCCTATAGAGGATGCTGGAGTCACAGGTGAAGGTTGTATTACAATGGCAGCCCTCACCAAGCTCTCGAGCAGTTGTTGAGAGAGATGACTTCTTCTTTGCAAAACATTTGCTTCTACATGACACAGGTCTTTCTAAGGACTCTCTTCCTGATTTGCAGAGCAGGACTGTTCCCAGGGTCCAAGGGGCATGGGCAGTTAAGGGAAGCAAAGGTGAAGTCTGGTGCTTGGGAAGTTAAACCAGCTTTGAGTAAATTAAGCTGGGGCGAGTAAACACCAATTTTTGTTTTCTTTTTTCTTTAAAGCTTTATTTATTTTTATTGCAAAATCAGATATATATAGGGGAGGAGAGACAGAGTGGTAGATCTTCCATCTGATGATTCACTCCCCAAGTGACCGCAACAGCCGGAGCTGAGCTGATCCGAAGCCAGGAGCTTGGAGCTTCTTCCGGGTCTCCCACGCAGGTGCAGGGTCCCAGGACTTTGGGCTGTCCTTGACTGTTTTTCCAGGCCACAGAGAGTGAGATGGAAAGTGGAGCAGCCAGGACATGAATCGGCGCCCATATGGGATGCAAGTTGAGGATTTAGCCATTGAGCCATTGCATTAGGCCTTGCTGGTTCACTTTGTAAATGCCCCCAACAGCTAGCGGTGTGCCAGGCTGAAACCGGAAATCAGAGTTTTCCACATTAACTGGGAAGGACCAAGCACTCAAGCAGTCACGTGCTCCCTTGCAGTGCCCACAGTGGCAGGAAGCTAGAATTGCAGGTGAAGTCAGGACTCATACCCAGGCTCTCCATACAGATTACAGGCATCCCAAGCAGTGTCAGCCTCTGCTGGATACCTGCCCTCTCTCAGCTACTTTCTGTAAAGTTGGTAACAAGATTCCCATCTTGACACCTGCAGGGAAGATTCGAGAAATGAAATCACTTGCCAGCATGGCTGGATTCACGCCCAGACAATTGGTTCCTGATTTCATGCTCCTGGTTCATGGGCATCTGTTTAGGGTTTCAGGGATGCTAAGCATCAGACAAACGGGATCTGGTCTTGTTGCAGTGGGTCCAGGCCGTGCAGCAACAAGGTGAAGTATGGCACATTTCACTTGGAGTTCACTCTAGACCTCCACCTCGCCAGCCCTTTTAAAAGTGGTGAATGAGAAAAACTGCAGCTGCTGCTTCATCCTCACACACTGTCAGCCTGCTCTCCGGCCCGGATATCTGGGCCATCACAGCGGAGCGGCAGCATGATGTGATCAGCAAGATTCAGTTCGGAAAGTTAGCAGTGCCAGAGCCCAGTGGCGCTCGCACCCTTCCAGCTGCAGAGGTGTCACTGAGGCCGGCGGGGGCTCTGTTAGCTGAGCAGCTCCCGTTATGGAAACATGGTCCTGGGAACTGAACCTTGTATGGGAGACGCCTGCCAGCTCTCCAGGCATCTGGAGAAATCACCCTCTGCTGAGGGACAGGCGTTCTGTCGTTGTTAATAATGGATGAGTGACAGGAAGTGACTTAGGTTATTGAGTTCTATGGTTCTCACTTTCCAGGACAATGAATAAAACATGATGGAAACTGCTGTCAAACCCTGCCTGGTGCCTCCCTCAAGATGCAGAAAGGTGAACCCTTGCTGGAGGCTGGATTTCCTTCCACAGATTTTTTTTTTTTAAAGATTGATTTATTTTTATTGGAAAGGTGAATACACAGAGAAGAGGAGAGACAGAGCGGAAGATCTTCCATCTGATGATTCACTCCCCAAGCAGCTGTAACGGCTGGAACTGAGCCAATCCAAACCCAGGAGCCAGGAGCTCTTCCAGGTCTCCCAGGCAGGTGCAGGGTCCCAAAGCTTTAGGCTGTCCTCCACTGCTTTCCCAGGCCACAAGCAGGGAGCTGGATGGGAAGCAGGGCCTCAGGGATTAGAACCAGCGCCAATGTGGGATCACGGTGCGTTCAAGGTGAGGACTTTAACTGCTGCGCTATAGCACCGGGCCCCTTCCACAGATTTCTAAGTCTGATGAGTATAATTCCCCCTACTAATATGCTAGGAATTAATACAAATGTCAGACCTGAGAATTGAAGTTTATTAAGCAAAAATGACTGCCTTAATCAGAAACCAAATTTTATTATGAAAAATATAATTACAGGTAAGACAATTTTTGATACATGACAAATATCCATCTTCTGTGGCTAGCACACAAACATTCTTTATCTGGACAAGTCCTTTTTTAAACACTAAAGTTTAATACATCAGCTGGCCAGAAGTTGAATACAGTATGTATTTAGGATCATGAGCTGTGTTCCTTGTAACTGACAAAGATATTGTTATGATTTGAAGTAGGTAATATATTTTTTTAATTTATTATTTTTAAAATAAC